AATTGCTAATATATAATAAAAATTATATAGATTTATTACTATATTTGTCTACGTATAAGATTTTGTATTATACAATGATAACTACAAAAGTATCAATGTTATTATATCGAATATAATGAATAATTGATTATAGGGTTCGCTACAAATAGATAATAAATATGTAGAATCGAGACTTCTATTTACCTTATAGTACCATTAAATCGTATGGGGTTCTGAGATATAATAATAATATTGTTTTTAATCCAGTAGTACTGATATCAATATCGTCTGTTACAATATTTTCAGAAACTCTTCAATAAATTTAAAGAACAATGTTGCCAATGTTGATTTTCTACATCCTATTTAAAAGAAGTTAATATTCATTAGTTCTCAAAATAGGTCTAAGATTTACAGTTCGAACAAAAATTCAGCTATAATATCAACTAAGATGTCTTTCAAAACTAAAAGACTACCAAGCTTATGTTTAATTTCCAAATTTTTAATATGAATTTCTCCACAAGATGACCATCCAACTGGTGGTCTATTATCTGGTATTATATTCTCGGCTCCTACTTTAAATCGTTATTGTAGTAAACTAAACGTTCTGCTGAGTTATATTTGCTTTCTATTATTAGACAATAAGTAATTGATTGTTTAAATATATCGGATATTATTATTATTACCATTATTATTACATATTTACTCACTACTTCGGCCATTTATTCAACACACTAATTAAAAGTTGAAGTGCATAAATCACTACTAATCCAGTAATTAAAGATACAAATACCTATCTCTAAGTGTAATAATAGCTTAACACTTTATATACTCATATTCAAAATTATTTAATATATATAATTTTGTTGAGTTCCTATTCGTCTTTTTACTATACTTATAGAGTATAACTTCTATAAGTAAGAAAATATAAATATATATTAGTTAGAGGGCTCTCGAATGAGAATTTGATCTGCGTAGATTTACTTAAAATATAATACAATAAATAAATATAAAGACTTTTAACAACGAAAATTTATCGTGAGTTTTTAATTTTGGATTCAATATAAGAATACAATGCACCATCTGAATAACTACTAAATATACTAAATTTAAGATAAATCATTTAGCAATTAAAAAAAAAATTGTCTAAAAATTATAACCTTAATAGAGAATAATAATATATACATAGTGTACTTATCTATGAATCATCTAATGCTAAATCACAATTAAAGCTATATTCATATTATAAATCTTTAAATCCAGAAAGAAATTAAAATCATAGATTTCTTGAAAAGTCTAATACTAATTAATAACCATGCCAAAAATTTATAAAACCTTAAATTTATAATAAATCTTGTGTGTAATAGTAATATATGTAAGTGTATATGTAAGTGTATATATACATAATACAGTATATAATTTCTATTAAATCGATCTATTTCTATATATGTTTAAAATGGATAAATACTATCCAAGTATTTTTCATTTTTTTTAAAAAATATTAATCTTTTAAATAGCAAAGGACTTATACGAGTTCTCTTTGCAGTTATTAAATTTCCTGCATCTGAGAAAAGCCTTTCACTAGCTGTTGAAGATACAAAAATAGCTAAATACTGTTTTGCGAGTCTGCTTATAACCAGAAATTTGTTACGCTGCTCATGCCACCACACGAAAGGATCATACTCAACATCAATTTCTTCAAGCTTTAGATAGTCAGAAATCTCCTCAACCGTAACTGGCGTATGTTTTTTAAAACTAGAAAGAATGCTACTTTTAGTTGTTTTTTTTACAGAAGTTGATTTAACCTCCGTTCTAACATTTTTTTTCTCTTTGTCTATATTATTTTTCATTTTTTCATACTCATCTCTAAGTAAATTTTCAGTAGCGAACCGTTTAGCAAATGAGACAAAAGATAGATTTTTGCACCTGAGATCTAAAAGACTAGGTAAAAGTAAACTTGGTTGATGTTAAATTAGACCAATAATAGTTCATTGCATTATACAAATTATTTTTTATTTCATCAATATCTATACTAATTGGTGTATAAGCCTGTTCATCCTCTTCTTCTTCATCAGTTGTAATATCGTTATCGTCAAATAAGTCTTGAAAGTTATTATCATCATTGTTAATGTCTGCTATATTATTGTTATTAGAGATTGATAACTGACAATTTTTCTTAAGTTCGATTAAAATAGGAACCATTATCGAATAGGTGCAATAATTACTTCCACCTAAATAATCAGTGGCCTCGGCTAACGGCTCAAGAATCTCTACTAAATTACTTATTATATCTCACTCCTCATCAAAAAGCAAAATTTTTTTTAAATATTTGAGATCTTTTTTGGTTTCAGAGTCGGATTTGGTTGAAAGTAAGTTTACAAGAAGGCTAATATGGTTTCTTAATTTAAGAAACCGATTCCAGGCGAGGTAAGAAGAATTCCATCGCGTTGGGCAATCGGCTATTGCATGCAAGTATTCAAAAACTTTTTGGATACTCTAATAAATTAGAATATGTTAAAATTATTATTATTATTATATAAATAAATAAATAAATGTATATTATATATATTATCTCAAAATTATTATCATTATTATTATTTTCATTTTCAGGATTATTTATATTTTGAATTTCAGGAAATTTCCTTTGAATTTCTTCAAGTCATTCACTTTGCTTAGGTCGTATAAAAAAATTAATTAACCGTTTAACTTTTTTGACCAATACTTTTGCTAGAATTAATCCCTTTGCGATTACAAGTTGTAATGTGTGTGATGTACAATTTAGCTAATTAACTTTGTTCATATTCAATATAGCATTTTTTACATTACGACCATTATTCGTAGTAATAATAAACATCTTATCCTGAATTTTCTATTTATCCATGATATTTCCTAATATTTCACTTATATGATTGGCTGTATGGTATATCAGATATATTTAATTGTAAGAACAAATTCACATAGCTTAAAATTATTATTAATAAAAGAACAAGTAACACCGAGATAACCCTAACGGCTACGAGCCGTCCATAGATCTATACATAATGATACTGAAATTGCTTCATTAATTAACTTTTCTTTGAGAATTGGCAAACTATAATCATAGGCAATATAAATTAATTTTTTAACAGTTTCTTCGCATAGCATTATAAAAGCAGTGTCTAAATCATTAATAAATTTACAAAATACTTTGTTGGTTACAACATGAATGGGCTGTGAATCTTTTATAATCCATATTGTAAGTGACTGTCTTAATTGAGTTTGCCAGGCCTCAGAATGTTTTTGAATATTTGATACACCTTGCTTATTATTCTATTAATATTAATTAAAAAAATATTAAGTATTAGCTAATTAGTAATATTAAAAATGTTAAATATTACCTAATTCAGTAATATATTTAATTACAACTTTATTTTTTCCATGTTTGGTTATTTCATGTGTATTTCGAAGATGAACAATTGCATTTCCTGTTAATCTGCAAGTATGGATATATGATGTATTACAATTAGTATTATCGCTATTTTTCTTTTAGCAAACAATTACTAGAATTTTTTCTCCATCTTTGTTTTGAATTTTAGCTTCCTTGAAGTGATCCCAGATTCAACTGATCTTGTTGCGTTTTTTATCTCCGTTTAAAGCTTTTTTTCTTTTATTTGACGATTTAATTGAATTAGAATTATTTGAATGTTTTCCTTTATTTGAAAATTTAATTGAATTAGAATTACTAGATTGTTTTTCTGACATTTTGAAAAAAATAATACTGAAGACAAAAAAAAAAAAAACTCAAAACCGACGAATGATACGCATATATATATTTATTTTAATAATTATAATATGTAATTTCTATTTAGACTAAGAGAATCGCAAACTACTTCATATATGCCACTAGATAATTAATAGTATTTTACTGCTTTTATAGTCTTAAAAATATTGCATTTGACATATTAAATACTATGTATTTCTCAGAATAGCAGGAATAATAAATATCTTCGTGATTATGCTTTATAGCCTACATGCACACTACTTGTATAATATTCATTTTTGTACAATTGCATTTTAGAAAAGACAACATAAAAGCTTCGGATAATAATTAATAAAAAACCAAATTATAATAAAATGATAAATCACTCCTGTCCTATGTTCATAGTAAGGCAGTGAATAATGTTTATTATTATTTTCCTATTTATTAATTGTAAAGCAGGTATGTTCATACAGTATATTAATATCTAAGTCTAAATATGCAAAAATTAAACATTAAAATTACCAGGGATAGTAATTTAAATCAGGATATTAATATGGGCGGTCTCTACCATTATAGAGTTTCGGGACTTATTGGATAATATTCTTATAATTCTCGATCAAATTTTGCTTTATTTTAAATGTAATTATATCAAATTGATCAAACATTAATTTTTAAAAAACTGTCCCTGAAGCTCTATAAAGATAAATAATGACTCACATCTAGTTTAAATAGACAGGTACGTATATACATATCGATATATTAACTGTTAATATCTAAGTCTAAATATGCAAAGATTAAACGTTAAAATTACCAGAGATAGTAATTAAATAGATAGGTACGTACAGTATTAAAAATTCGGCACAAATATGCTGTGCAAGAAAATTTTTTTATACAGGAATGTTATTTTATTTTTTGTGCTTCTGCACAGTAATTGTTAATTTTATGCAAATAACAATACAAACATGGCGAATTTTTAACACTGGGTATATACGTACAGTACATTAATATCTGAGTCTAAATCAGGGTTAAAACGATATATAGTAAACAATGGCTATTTACTGCGCTAGCCCTTTGTTTAAAGTAACAATAGATATATATTATTAATAACAAAAAATCCTGTAGTTGTCCCGCAGTTATCCCATAATTATCCCATGATTTATATATAACATAATTAATTTAATTTCCTTACTTGTCCCGTAGGTACAATACAATAAAAACTCATTATTACTGTATTACCGCAGGTTATTATTAAAATCATATGACAAATCGGACTTATTTTAATAGGAAAACCTGCAGAAAATAATATCTGTTAGTGTATACATCTACTTGCTGCAGTAGCGTGATTGGGAATTTTTGCATAATGCATGATTTATTGTATATAGAGTATAATGCGACTAATCAATTTGAAGATTATTTAAGGGATTCTTTAATAAAGAAAAACAGAAGTTAGCTTGGCTTTCGAATAAACACGTTTTATTTTAAATACTAAGTGGTTGTCACTGCAATCGTTTGTTACATGTAAAAGAGTTTGAAGAATATTTTCAGTAAGGAGAAAATGTATAAGAAAAGAAACAACAAACAAAATGAAATTTTTATTCGGAATTGACAATCAAAATGGCCACTGATATCACGAAAACTTGAATATGATTGGAAAAAACAGCAAAACAAAGACCTTAGCATATTACGTATGTAAAAATATTAGACATTATGCTCATTCTTGTCCTTTGATAGCCAAAAGAAAATTCGTCACACCAACCCTTCGTTAGTATCTACCTGCATTTTCTCATGATCAAGGATTTGAATAATCTTTCCAGCAGTTAGTGAAAACACTTGATCCGTTTCGCCCAAAACCATATTTTGAAGATTTTTCATTTTACCGTCAAGAGTCCTCAATGCTTTACCGAAATGTTATAAATCCCATAACTTACATGGCTTGATTTCATTATTCTCTTTCAGGTAATGAGCTATAGAAGCGTAGCAGTTGTGTATACTCTCTGCCTTATAGTCATTTCTGTTCAAGCGCTTCAACTAGGTAAGGAATTTGCAAAGAAAGTCTTCTAATTCTGTTGTCGTCTCTATTTTTTCAATTCCTTTTTCGAAATTAATAGTCTCATGAAATCTGTCAACCGAATGCAACCACTTCGAAGTACACTTGTTGGTGTTCTCTACATGTGAAATTCGTTGTAATTCTAAAACCTTCTCTTCGGTAGGGGCGATGTTTCGGGTTCTTTTACCCTTATTGTAAGAAAACAAAAAAGAGATCGATAATATTAAAAGCCGATCAATCTAAAATTAATCATTAAAATAAAAAAGAAAGTTTAATTACTTACGTGGTTGCATGGGTTGTTACTAGAGATGCTAGTAAATTAAACAGTTTCACCAGGTGAAATAGTGAAGTAATTTTACCAGAATTAACACCAAAATAAAAATTTGGTGAAATTGGCGAAATGGTAAAATTAGTGAAACTGTGAAATGATGAAATTGTAAAATTAGTTTAATTGACATGTTAGCAGTACTATCTTCATTTGATACATAGATTAGTAGTATAACCAAATTTAGTGGATTGACAAAAATTTAGGTCGAAATTATTGGAGCTAGGCCGGCATTAGTAATAATACCATTTCACCATTTCATACTAGCATATACATATTATCAATCTACTACTTAACTCGAAATTACTAATGTTTTAACTCTATGTATAATATTCAGAATATGTAAAATAAGAATATTAGTATAAGCTTTTTGTTGTAATAGTATGTTAAACGGTATAAACAAAGCTCTTTAGGTTTAGATTTTACATGTATGTCTCAATCTTTTTTTTTGTTGGCTGTTTCTAGCATTTAGAGCTTACATATAGTTAATATAATAGTAAATAGTAAAAATATTCACCTCTAAGTGAAGTTCTTGAGTTACTGATTATTTTTGCAGTTATAGACATTCTTTCGATGGCTTTTACAATGATTTTTTGTTAGTGAAATGTTACATTCTTAAAAAGTACTTTAAACTGTATAAATAAGTTACCTGGGCAATTGACTTACATCAGCCAATCAGACGAATGTCTGACTATAAAGTCATACCCATTAAATAATTAAAGTAATAGTAGGATATATTAAACAGATGATAATAAGTTTGAAGACTCACTTGCATTTAATGAAACAGTAATCTGAGAAATCAAATGTGCTAACGAATCTGGAAATTCTCTCTGTTTTCTTCATATAACGTCTGCCTTATCAAAATTCTATTCATTAGATCAACTGTTATATCAACCGTTATATCAACCATTATATCAACTGTTATATCAACTATTATATCAACCATTATATCAACCGTTATATCAACCGTCATATCAACCGTTATATTAACCATTATATCAACCGTTATATCAACCGTTATATCATATAACACCTATCACATCAGCTATTAGATCAGCCATTAAAACAACCATTAGATCAACCGTTAGATCAACCATTAGATCTTAACTGTTATATCATATAACACTCATTATATCAACTGTTAGATCAACCGTTAGATCAATATGCACTCCTTGCATTAATACTTACTCCTTGCATCAATCCGAATAATTTATTGGATAATTCGGTTATCCATCCGTTAATCCATTTTATCCGATTATCCATTTGATATCCGGATATCCGACGGATAAACGGATAAATAGATAATAGATTGGAACTCTAGCAAAAAGAGAATCGTTGCTTGATGATAAGGATCTCAAACTGGTGGCTTGTACCTGGTTACGTTCTATTCTACCAAAAGATCATTCTCTTTTAGTACTAAAGAAAGAATTGGAAACAAATATCTTTTCTAAATTGCTTGGAGTACCGATCACTATTTCGGAAACCATCACACGAAAATTCATGCACTTATGGGGTTTTCACAAAAAAACCATAGGGCAACAGGTATATAAGGCCATACAAAATTAATTAATAGTTTTTTATAACCTGGCCGGGCCAAAATTTGGAAACTTCTAAAACAAATTTATATATATAAAAAAAAAAAAATCTGGCCAACCGGGTCTATTTAAAAGTTTCATGTTATGAAAGCCAAATAATTAAATTTGTATAGCCTAATATTATGATTATTATTATTGGTTTTTTTTTTTTTTTTTTTTTTTTTTTTAAATTGCTTGATACTTTTTAGGTCTATTTTGATGGACATGAACGGGAAGACGTGCAAGAATATCATAAAAGATGGACAATAAGAATGATGAATTATCAAAAAAAAATGGAACAATATGATGGTGATGAGATGGAAAATGTCATACCTCCAGAACAGCTTGAAATTTGGGATATGCACCATGTTTTGGTTACCTATGATGAAGTTTACTTTTATGCTAATGATGACAATTTATCCTTTTGGGTAGAAGATAAAGAGTCTATTATCAAGAAAAAAGGCCAAGGGTTAGCAATTATAGTTAGTGACTTCTTGTGTGTATGACATGGCCCTTTGCGCCTTACAGAGGCTGATGCTATACAACTTGGGTTAGACCGAGAGGCCCGAGTTATTATAAAGCTGGGACAACAAACTGATGGTTATTAGAAAAGTGAAAATATGGTTAAACAGCTTCATGAAAAGGCAATTTCGATTTTTAATGCTCTCTACTCAGGATGTATAGGCATAGTTTCAAATTCGTCTATTGTTTTTTAATTTTTTTTTTTTTTATTTATCCTTTTTTTTGTTTTTTTTGAAGGTGTATTCTGCTTTGATCAGAGTACTAACCATAATGCATACGCACTTGATGCGCTTGTGTGTTCCAGAATGACTATGCATCCAAAAGTTGAAGATAAATTTAAGTTTAAAGATGGGTGGTTCATTCGTAATTATGAAAAAATCACACAATCTGTTTTTTTAGATGAAGATGATAGTATCGTAAAGTTTAAAGAGATTAAAAAGGTATATAAAGACTACTACCTTTTTTTTTTTTTTTTTTTTTTTTTTTTCTCTACTATATATCTTAGATTCTGGAAGAACGGAAGATGTGGACCGGTCAGAGATTGGATTGTAAAAGAAAGGAGGATAACGAAAAGGGTAAAAGAAGAAATTTTGCATCATGACGTTAATAATC